TTTGAGCATATAATAAGTTTTTAATGCATTTGAGGAATGAAGGTCAATGGCGAATGTAATTAATTCAACAGGATGTGCCTACTACTAAAATGCACTTATGAGTAGACATTTAGTTATACACATATTTAGTGAAGAAGAAATGAGTGATTTGGACGGCTGGGCGCGGTGGTGCGCGCCTGTAATCCAGCGACTTGGAGGCCAGGTGTCGGGATCCCGCTGGATGGGGGGTTCTGATTGTGGCTGGTTCATGTTGATCGGGCGTCCGAGTTAAGCACGGCGCCGATATGGATCGGTCTCCGGAGGGAGGCGGGTCCAGGTCGAGGCCACTTTCCCGGTGGCCGCATAAGGAGGGGCGAACAGGCCCAGGGGGGAAACCCAGCAGGCAAAAGTCCCCGCGTGGTGCAGTAGCAGGGTAGCGCCTGTGAATGGCTAGCCATGACCGGCCCCGTCTGCGCGTGGAGACCTCCGCCATTTTGCTTTTCTAGCAAGCCTTCTTCTTGCCTTCTCATCTTGACTATTATTATCTTTTGTGCATACAAAACTTTTAACATCGCCTTATATCACAATCAATTTTATTCATTCGCATTCCCCTCTTTTCCCGCTACATTTTTACACCAACTAGCTGTCCCGACGGATTCATTAGACACACGCCGGTGATCCAAGTCGTTCTGCTGATCTGCGTTTCTACACTTTTACTCACACTCTCGAGTGTGGCTCTCTTCTTCACCCTCAAAATCACACGTGACTAGTATCCGAAAAACGTAGGATGGCGACATTTTTTGCATTCTACGCCCATATACATTTTAATACATACAACCAAGAAGCAGTAAAGATAACTTTTTGGGCAGTAAGAAGAGCCACTTTGTTGAGGGGACTTTCATTTCGCACCAAAGTGAATGAGGAAGAGATTCCTAGGTCGATCCAGCCAGAGGAGGATGGCTGAATCCTGTTATACTCCTGCCATTTGGCTTTTATACCACGTTCAGGGTGACGCAGTCCACGAGACCTCCTTTCTCTTTTCAGATGAAAACGGGCTGAGCTTTTGCCTATCATATGTAC